CTCGCAGTGACTTTTCACTTTCCTCTTTCCCCGCCTCCGTTTTGGTTTCTCAACCAAACTACGCTTTACCGGTGACTGATAGGGATGTACAACCAATAGAAAGCCACAGTGTCCAGAAAGAGTTGGCTATCAGCCAATGGAGTGAAAGCAGCGAGAGTGGTTGCGCAGAGAAGGCTGAAACCGATTTACAGGAGTTGCACTGGAGAGTGAGGGTCCTAGTACATCGCAAATATGGTGAGATGGGGAGCAAGGAAAAGGGTCACTGGGTAGGGATTAGGGAGGGGGTCAGGGGAAGTTCGGGGGCTGAGTGGGCCTAGGTGGTCGATGAAAGGAAGTGGCTTTGGTTAGAACGGGAGTGGACAGTGGTGAGGACCAAGCGGGCGAGTGCGGCTCCTCGCTACCGCACAGTGCACATCTGAGCTGGAGTTTCCGGGGTCCAGGCTCTTCCAGGATGGAGAACGGGGCCTACAGGAGTCTCCGGATCAGGGGACTGGGTCGGGAGTTATGGCATGTTTGACCCCTCACTCTGAGCCCCTCCGCTTTGTCTGCCCCAGTCTATTATGTCCTATAATGGAGGGGCCGTCATGGCCATGAAGGGGAAGAACTGTGTGGCCATCGCTGCAGACAGGCGCTTTGGTATCCAAGCCCAGATGGTGACCACGGACTTCCAGAAGATCTTTCCCATGGGTGACCGTTTGTACATCGGTCTAGCCGGCCTCGCCACTGATGTCCAGACAGTGTAAGTGTCATGGGTCCCCGCCCACACCCAAGCCTCTTATTGGACCATCCTTGCCTGACTTGCTGAGCGGCTTGGAAGTCAGTCACCTATCAAACACCACCAGTGAGACCAAAAGTTTGCCAGACCCCATAGTGATACAGACATGTATCCTACCAAATTTTACTAGCATTTACTTTGTTGAAAGCATTTACTCTGTTGAAAGCATCTTACTTTCGTGAACTCATTTAATCCTCATTTAGATACCGCCATGTTGCTGTCCCCTTTTGCAGATGAGGAGATTGCGGGTCTCAGAGTGTCTTGTGCAAGATGCAAGTTAATGAGCCAGGATCCCAACGCAGGTCTAAGGCCAGAGTGGGTGTACAGTCCCTAGAGAATTTCAGGTCTAGTTGGGAGACAAAGACAGGCATACAGAAAGATAACCAACCCTTGATGGGTTAGTGCATATTAACTGCCATAGTAGTTATCTAGTTGACGGTGGTTATGTGATTTGAGAGAAAAGAGAGTCTATGGGATGAGATAGGTAGCTATTGTGATGATCCTGCTGTGACGGTTATTGTCCTTATGGAGCAGTAGTTGTGGGAAAGGAAAGGAAGACATTTCTGAAAGTTGTGGCTGACCGGTGACTACTTGGATAAGATGGGGCCAAAGAAAGAACCATCCAAATGAAGTGAAGACCAGTGTCTTTATTACCAGGTACTAATATCTAGACTGGTACCTGACATGTAGGCAGTCCAGATAAGTTTCAAGATGATTCCTGTTTTGAGCATGTTGACTGAATTATACTAACATTAAGAGGACTAGTTTGGAAGCAAAGATGATGACTTTGATTTTGACATCAATTTTCAGGGGACAAAACAAGCCAAATAGAAACATCTTGCAAGCTGTGGGTTTGAAAATCCATCTCAGGGTTGGAGAGGTATTAGTGATGTGTTAAATCTGTGAGGGCAGATTCTGGAAAGATAACAGTTTGTAAAGAGGAGGAAAATAAGCTGCAGTTTAGAGCTGAGTCTTATATTTAGCAGTCAGGGAAGAAGAGAAGCCAGAGATATTGGTCTGCTCTATGTAGGGGCCTGTCCTGGAGCTCTGAGATGGCACTGGGGGAAGTATGGCTTTTTTTCTGAGGCACCTTCCAGTCCATTAGCACGGCAGCTGCTGCTTGTTAATGCACCTAAGATTTTGCAACTTGGGTTGCTCCTGTAGCTCGCAGTGGGTAGGGCACAAGCCTCATATACCGAGGGTGGTGGGTTCGATCCCGCCTCGACCAAACTGCAACCAAAAAAAATAGCCAGGCGTTATGGTGGGCACCTATAGTCCCAGCTACTCGGGAGGCTGAGGCAAGAAAATCACCTAAGCCCAGGAGTTGGAGGTTGCTGTGAGCTGTGATACCACAGCACTCTACCAAGGGCGATAAAGTGAGACTCTGTCTATAAAAAAAA